GACCTTTCTGAATGCTTGCGACGCTATCCATCTGCGATGCCCTTTTGTTCACCTGCATTGCAGCTTCTCTACATCCTCTTGCAGCTTCTTCTCTTGAAAGTTCAACTGTGTGATATGCTTCGCAAGTCGTCCTACAAAATTAGCGCACAATTTCGTCGAGTTGTTTGGTCGACAAGCGAAAGGTCTTCAATGTCTCATCTGTATGCAGTCGCAGCTTTGCAAAGGCTTGCCATGTTGCCAGTTTGAAGACTAAATCAAGAACGATCTCATTGTGAGGAGCTGGCAAAAGCCCCTCAATGACAGGAGCAATACACTGAAAAGGTGAAAATTGAGCGTTTTGATTATTGCGCTAATCATTAATTTGCACGCACCTGTAATATATCTTCATAATCACATGCAGCCAGTTGTTTCAATTCAGATATGTCATTGCTGAATTGCCAAATTGTATCGTGCCCAAACGTAGGAACTTTACGAAATCTACAAATGTCATAAAATCTTTAAAACAAATTTTGGGGGTAGCAGTGTATTGTGCCCACCTTTTATTAAACCTTTGAATAGCATTATGACCCGATGCATAGAGAATGCACAGAAGATGGGTCACAATTGCTTTCCAAACACCGAGCTCGAACTCATGCATCTGATCAATGACAAACATCGAGTAAAAGTCGAAGCCAAACGGTGAAAGATGAATGGAAAAGGCACTCTGAATATTGATTATCAATATTGTGGCACCTGCAAATATATTAAAATAATTGGATGCACTCTAGTTGGTACCAAAGATCAGCTGTCCAGAACACGAGTGATACGCTTGCTGCTAGGAGCGTAACCCTTCTCGAATACCCAGCGTCACATCCTTGAGATATCATATTGCACAGGGTGATCATCTGTGCGTAGTTTGGTACGCCGAAGCATGTTGGCATGAGATCCCATGTTGGCGATGTCAGTCTTCTGTGTGAGGCAACGTGGGCATGGGCACTGTGCTAGGTAGCGCACGCAAGCGAGAAGAACTCTGACGAGCATATTAGCATAGGAAGGATACAAATGCAAACAATTCTGTACATACTTCTCAGGATAATCGGCGGAGTAAGTGAAAACCCTAGGAAACATCTGCTGCAGCACTCCGTCTCCACATTGAATCAACATTCTGTGTTCGTAAGCGTGCATGAAGTCCAGATCGAGTGCGAGCAGCCATATCGCATGAAATAGTTCACGCTTGCAGAACCGGAGAAT